CTGCCCAATCCAACATCGCCCAGAAACGACAAACTGATGCAAAACCTGTCATCAAAGGAGCTGACGAAGGATCAGGTGCAGGTTTAACGGTATGAAGTTTCATTTAACACGGTTGACGTCAAACCTGTTAACATGATTGCAGCAGTAGAATCAACGCTTAGTCAGACGAAGACAACAGAGGAGACCTAGAGCCTCATCCGACACCAAGTGTCGTCTCTCCTAATGGCCCAAAGGCCGCGGGAAGTGCTTTCCAAGGTCGAACGTGATGCGCTTAGAAAATTCAAGATCGAAAAAGACCTGGTCATCGTGCCAGCGGACAAAGGGCGCACCGTGGTTGTAATGGATAGGACAGACAACCTTCAAAAAGCCAAGGGTTTACTGGAGGGCTGACAGTTCTATGTCCCATGTGAAACGAACCCTTTAAAGGCGCTGACACGCGAAATTAATGCTACGTTGTTGACCTTGGAGAACTCCGGTGCAATAACACCGACCGACAGACGCATGGCGAGACCCCAAGATACGGCATTGGCCCGATTCTAAGGTCTCCCTAAGTTGCACAAAGACGGCGCTCCTCTCCGACCCATCGTGTCACTCAAAGGGACTCCACCGTACGGACTGGCTAAGTGGCTGTTCCGGCGTCTCAAGTTCCTGACCACTGAGTCAGACACCGCGGTATCTTCGTCAGCACAATTCCTGGAGAAACTCAAAGGGGTAAGCCTCCATCCAAATGAGGTCATGGTATCTTTTGATGTTACATCCCTTTTTACTTCTATTCCCAAGGACCTGGCGATCGAGACAATCGAGCTGCTTCTACAAAGCAAATACGATGAAACGGAGAATCGTCTTGGACGCGCCCAAGTCCTTCAGCTCCTGAAGTTCTGTCTCAGGACGTACTTCACGTTCGACGGGACAATCTACGAAAAGGTGAAGAGCACACCAATGGGTTCGCCGATTTCGGGATTCATCGCCGTGGCGGTCCTACAACGGTTAGAGTCACAGATTTTTCAACACCACAGACCGAAGTTCTGGGCCCAGTATGTGGATGATACCTTCGTCCTTATCGATCGGGATTAGGTGCTGACATTCAAAGAACATCTCAACGTCGTCTTCCTGGACATAAAATTTACGATGGAGGAGGAAGAGAACAACCAGCCGGCCTTCCTGGATGTCCTCGAATGCCGCAAAGATTGTGGTGGACTAAAGATCAAAGCGTTCAGGAAAGCGACTAATACGATGCAGGTACTGAACTTCAACAGCAACCACCCAATCAGACACAAACGCAGTTGTGTAAGGACGCTCTATTGGCCTGTCTAAACGCATTGCAGTGAGCCGCAAGACAAGATTGCCGAACTGCAATACCTCCGACGGGTCTTCAAAGCCAATGGATACTCGCGCAACTTCGTCAACCGGTGCATTCGCAAAATGGACAAAAGGACTAACCGCATGGACACCAAATGTTGGCGAGCGCTTCCGTATGTCAAGAACGTTTCGGAAGCTGTCTGTTGCCTTCTCGCACCACTTGGGGCTGGAGCTGCACACAGACCGGAGGCAAGTATCAGGCGTCAGGTAACGAAACCGAAAGACTCACTGCCACGGCTAGGAACGTCTGGAGTCCTTTATCGGATCCGGTGCAGTTGCGGACAAAGCAACTACGTCAAAGAAACTAGAAGACAGCTCCGAACGAGAATGGCCGAACGCGCTGCAGCGGTGCGGAGAACTGAAGCCAGCTCTCAAGTTGCGGCTCATTCGACGAGATCCGGTCACACATTCAAATTCGAAGAGGCCAAAATACTCGCAAGAGATGACAACCGCCTGACCCGGGAGCTACTGGAATCATGGTTTACTGCCCCAATCCATTAACAAGTGCAATTAACTTCCCCCTTCCATACTAGGTGCGGAGACTTCGACTAGGCGGAGTAACAAGCCATGCGGCGAGCGCAGAGGTGAACACTTTTCCCAACACCGGGGTCGGTGCGTCAGATGGTCGAGCAATCATCACACCAACATCCAACGCACGTGATGAAGTTGCAGCAATTAACCACTCGTATGTCGGCCATCAAGCAATTAGCACACCAAGGGCGACGACCCCGGATGAAGGGCGAGCCGTGAATGTTCTCAGGTATGCGGTAGCATGGTTACTGCATCCTATAAATACTGCAGCCCCTTGTGCATGAACCACCCCTATTTGCTTTTGTCTGTGATGATGGGTTCGAGCAGGAATCCGAAACGTCAGGCTAATAAAGCTCTTGTCCCAGCAATCGTGTCTCCTCCTTCATGACGCTAATTATATTAACTGTTATTTCGGCGGGTCAACTAAGAACACGGAATAATGTGAGACGTTCGGTGATATTTCTAGTACATCCTCGACCTCAGCGGATCCCACCGTCGCTAAATGCCCCACAGGAATGTTGCTGAAACAAAGTTCTTCATATACGCAGAAAATGATTTCTTTTTGAATGCATCTACTCAGTGGGTTCAAATTAATGCGTGCTGAGCATGTGACTTTATGGAAGCCATCATTACTACGTCGTATTTGTCAAAAAATAAAATGAAATATTGTTTGATTTGAGCAATCTGATCTTGAAAAAAATTGCGTCGAATGCCTGCAAATGGAGTTCCAAGCAAATAATCAAACATTACGCACTGCATTATATGTAGAAGGTAACATAGCACCAATTTTGTGGAGGATATTTGCGACAAACATATGAACAACTGTTCTTTTGAATAATTACTATATGTGTGCTGTTTCATTTACTCATCCATCAGCCATTACGGAATGCCAAAATCCGAGTTTATTCCTTGGACATACATTTTTGGGTTTGCGATATTTCCGCTTTTCTTCAGTAAGTTAGTATTTCAAACCGGCCAAACAGAGCGTTAGTATATCTTTTGCGGTTTTGCTTAATTTGATTTGTTCCACTAGTAATATGAACTGGTTTGACAACATCGGCACATTTCAGTCAAGTTTAAACTGAACAGCATAGGCAACTCAAGGCCTGCATGAACACTCGGATCCACGCCAATAAAGCGGATTTTCCGCTATCGCGGTCATGTGCAGCAGCGACTAAGAAAGAGACAGCAAAACTAAACAACTCTGCACGCAAAGGAAATTCAGGAATGCACCGACTGAACTGCAATCAAGAACTTCTTTGAATGACCCAGGCAGCTTACGGCCACCGAGCTCAAGTATCCGTGCCGCTTCTCAGCTCTAATGGACAGAAACATTCCCATAAAGTAGTGTTTTTTCAGCCGGACTACTCACCTGCCGAGAGAATGAAACGCCGCGAACTTGTCCTAGAATTGAGAACACGACAAACCGACGGAGAAAAAAACTTGACAATCTACAAAGACCGGATTGTCAAACGACATTCCGCTCCCCTCTGGATCAAGCCGATCCGAATGACCGCACAGATACCACGGTAGCCTGTGTCGGGGTTGATAAAAAATCACGCATGAACTCGAAACTCATATTCATGTATACCAACGCGCAAAGTGTGCTTTCTAAACTGTATGAACTTCGTATCCTTACCCACAACCTCCACCCAGACGTTATCTCAATAACAGAAACACGGCTTTCCGAACAGATAGATGATAGAGAACTCATGCTCCTTGGCTTTCAACTGTTCCGCGGAGACAGACAAAACAGGAGAGGTGGAGGCATAGTAACATTTGTTAAAAAAGGCTTATACGTTTCAGAAAAAAACTGCCCAATTGACTTGCGGTACGGAAGCGTTGTGGCTGACCATAAGGGCACCGGACTTTCAAAGCCTCGATATCTTGACAGTATGTCGCCCCCCGAGAAATGACCCTGACGCTGATACCCAACTGCTGGAGAAGCTTCGGCTATTTTCAACGCGACCGACTACTCTCATCGTTGGAGATTTTAATGCACCTCACATAAACTGGAGCTCGGCCTCGGTCAAAATTCTCATCGCCAGAGATAGGAAAGCTTTTGAAAAGAATCTTTTGGACCGTGCCATAATTAATCCACAAATCCTTTTCAGCTACATAAGACAAAGCACACGGAACAAAGATCCTGTCCCACTGTTGCGAACGGCTGACGGTGTGGAAATCTCCGATGACAAGGATAAGGCTGAACATCTCTCTCAGTTCTTCCAGTCAGTCGTGACAAGTGAACCTGCTTTTTCCTCACCCGCTTATGAAGACGAAGAAACGCCTACCCTCGAAGCCGTCTTCTTCACTGAAACAATTGTTCGGAATGAGTTACTAAACATAAAATAATCGACCTCCCCAGGCCCTGATGCAATCCCCGCCAATCTGCTGAAGGAGCTAGCTCCCGAAATGTCCAAGCCATTAGCCTTGATCTTCCAAACATCATTTCTTACTGGATGCCTGCCCTCTGACGGGAAGTCCGCTACCATCACTCCGCTTTTTGAAAGCGGAAGTCGTGCATCTGCGAATAACTACAGGCCAGTGAGTCTTACCTCCATCTGTTGCAAAATCCTGGAGAAGATCATTAAGAAGGCCTTGATGCAGTTCCTCGAGCAGCACCACCTCCTCTCTGATGCACAACACTGCTTTCGAAGTGGTAGGTCCTGCCTCGCGAATCTGCTCTTTACGCTCGAACGCTGAACCAAAGCACGCGATGAAGGTAGTGGGGTGGACGCCATCTACATCGACTTCAAAAAGGCCTTCGACAGTGTTCCCCACCAACGTCTCTTGCACAAACTGCGCAACGCTGGAATTCGTGGACGCCTCTTGTATGGATCCAGAGCTTTTTGGCTGCACGGTTCCAAAGAGTGCAGGTCGGGCGTCAACAATCCTCAGAGGTAAGCGTGGTGAGTGGCGTCCCACAGGGCTCAGTCCTAGGTCCCACGTTATTCCTCGTTTTCATAAATGACTGCGTCAAGGACTTAGACTGTGATACCATCCTGTTTGCCGACGACATTAAATTGTGGAAAGTTATTCACAATGCGGCAGACGCAGACCACCTGCAAGCAAACCTGAACAGGCTCGAAGACTGGTCGAAGCGCTGGCTTATGCCCTTCAATATAAGCAAGTGCAACTTTCTTCAACTAGGCAGCTTCAGAGCCTCCAGCCCCAGGACTTACTTTCTAGAGGGCACACCACTGCAACTGGTTGACAGTCAGAAGGACTTGGGTGTATGGATTACATCTTCACTCAAACCAACACTGCACTGCGCGAAGGCGGCTAAATCGGCTATGGCTACACTGCAAATCATTAAGCGAGCATTTATGGGGTTTGATCCAGACAGCTTTTCAAAAATATTTGGCACCTACGTGAGGCCTCATCTAGAATACGCCATTCAGGCGTGGAGACCTTGGACTGCCAAGGACTATACCGTTTTGGAGAAGGTCCAGAGACGGGCGACCAAAGTGACACAAGGTCTGGGAGCGCTGTCCTACGAATCTCGACTGTCAACTCTCAACCTGTTTCCACTTTCCTACAGGTAATTATATGATGACCTTATACTTGCATTTCGCATTATCAACGGCCTACATTGTTGTTTAGATACCACTGATTATTTCACACAAGCTAACACGCCCAATTTGCGCGGTCATCCCCTAAAACTACGCGCCGGGAAACCTAGGATCAATGGAAGAAAGTTCTTTTTCAGTCACATAGTGGTTGCAGCGTGGAATGCCCTGCCCACCGATGTTGCAACCTCCTCCTGTGTGAATTCCTTTAAGTCTAGACTTGACGCGCATCAAGCCTCCCATTTACCAGCCTTGCATCCACTCACTTAGACGGCACCATCTTAAACTTGTTTATACTACTTGTAACTAGTTAGTAGCCGTTATTGATTACTCTTTTTTGACTAGCTGTCAGCGATTATGTACAAAACCCCTTTTTTCACCTTCCCACTATCAATGTTTTTCTCCGACGACTTGTAACCAATAGGGAGTTCAAAGGCGCTCGCCTATATTTGCCTTAATAAACTGAAACTGAATCGAAAACATTGCACATTTTGGAGTGTCTTCAGAAGTGACCTCAACGGAAGTGTCCTCTTATGCCGCCATCGACCACTTCCCTCAAGCAAGAACCAGAAACAACCTCGATCTGCCGCCTTCTCTTCCAGAAGCGAACAGGGCTGTACATCAACTCTCCAGCAGCAAGGCGCCGGCATCCGCCGCGTTCCCAACAGACGGCCCCGGCTGATTAATCAACTCACAACGCTATTCCAAGAGAAGTAAATCAGAGGACAGGTTCCTTGGGACTTTAAGGATGCGACAGTCGTTTAACCCTATGAGCGCTAAGAGAACCAGTAAGTCTGTGATGATTACAAAGGACTCGTTCTGCTCGAAATCCCCAGAAGGACCTTCACTCGCATCCTCCTCGAATTGGGCACTTCAGCTGGAAAGTCTGGATTCTGACGCCACTGCGGAAGCACCGACATGATCTTCGCCGTCCGCCAGCTGAAAACGAAGCGATAGAGAATGCGGACACACCTCTACATTTCCTACGTGGACTCGAAGAAAGCCTTCGGGGGGGGGTGGACTGCAATGAATTGAGGAAAATCGTGCAGGAATTCGGCTGTCCTGTGCAATTCACGCACACGGTGTGTCGGCTGCACGACGAGATAATGGGGTGCTTAATGGCCAACCGGACTGTCCCCGAGGTATTCGCAGTGACTAATGGAATAATGAAGAACTACGTTATTGGCCCAAACCCCTTCGGCTTCAGATGTTTCGTCATGCTGATGGACGTTTAACTTGATACGTGCTCCAAACATCGCAACGCCTACGGGGCTGACGAAAATCTTAGCAGTCGGCGCGTGCAGATCTCACCACGTCTCAATACTATTAAAATGCATGACCCGCTCTGCGCTGATGACTGCGCAGTCAACGCCGTGTCAGGAGTTGACACGAAACGGAGCATGGGCCTCTTTGCCGAGGTTGTGTCAGCTTCGGGCTGACTATAAACACTGACAAAACGGAAGTCACGCATCAGTATCCACCGAAGGGCGCATACAATGTTCCTTTCATTCACTTCAACGACACCCAACTGAAGACTGCGGATAACTTCGCCTAGCTAGGCAGTACATTCTCACGCTGCACCAAAGTGGAAGACGAAGTGTCTTACCGGACCTCCAAAGCCAGCCAAGTATTTGGCTTGCTACAGAACTCCGTATGGAAGGTCAACGTCCCAAAAGTAAAATGAAGGCGTACAAAAGTGTAACCATGTCGACGCTGTTGTATGGTGGGGTGATCTGCAGAGTTTGCGAAAAACAAGCGCGGAAAATCAGTTTATTTCCCCTGGATACTAAGGCTGTGACAGAACAGGACCGTGGACACTGTAGTTTTGGAACGACTGAAATCCTCAGAACCCATGCCATGCTGCGGCAACTGCAATTATTTTTGAGCGGCAAACTCATGAGAATGGACAACGGGCGCCTAACAACACAGAGATGTCTCCACGATTTATCGCCCATAAGGAGGTCTAACCCGTTGCTACAAGACACCGTGCAGAATTCTCTGAAGCGGATACAGACCAACCCGGTTTCATACAGAACCGATCTGCTTGAGGAAGAACAGCGGAAACAGGATCAGCTACCTATAAAGCCGGCCGTACAGGTCTCATCACGTCTCTCTAACATGCATAGCCTGCTCTTAGCTGATGACTGCTCAGTCAACACCGTGTCAGAAGCTGACATACAACGGACCATTGCCGGGGGTTTGCCAACCTTGGACAGTTACAAGAATAAGGTGATCCACGACGCCAACTCTCAACCTATCTCGTCATGCTTACGTCGTGAAAAAATGCCCGGTGCGCCGGTCGACCTCGTCAGACATCTCTGGACTCAAAGCATCAACCCGATTGACCCAACCGATGTCGCTCTGAGCCCCCTCTGTTCCAACACTCACGACGTCCACTACAACGACCCCCTCACTGCGCATGGCCAACATCCCCGTGCGGCACCTCCGTCGGACGCTGCTCTCTCCATCATTCCTGCCACAACTCCCGCGGCGAAGAACACCGCCAGAAGTCCCCCCCTTCACAATCGGAAGTAATTCTCGCAAAGAACCACCCTCACTAAAGCCACTTCATTTTTCAATAATGTGGACTCGATGCTAGCCTGTCCTCATTGCGACCGCACATTTGTCTCACGCATTGGCCTGCCCAGTCACTTGCGAATCCACCCCACTGCGACCGGTGCGCCAGTGTCTGGAGTCCCCACACACGCGTCACAGTTCACACCGACCACGCACATTCATACCCCGCGTGAACCTATTCTGTCACATGCGTATGGGCAGCAGTGGAAGCCACCGCAGTATCTGCACATATAACACACCTTGCAGACCAACCAGTCCACTCATGCCTTCGCATCGACTTGTGCGTCCAGTAGCATCACAAAAACAGCCAACTCGTTATCCTCCAACCCATCCTGTCCACACCGTCACCTCACGCATCGACTTGGTTTGCCATTTGTCAGTCAGTAGCACAAAGACTGGCCTGAATCATCGACATACACTGGACGCCATCGCCTCAGTTGTCCGCACTGCCCTCGCACATTCAGCCGTCGGATGTACCCATTAGGCCACATATAAATTCATGAATTCAAAGAAAACAATTTGGCGGGCATACGTAAGCTTTCGATAAATTCTCATCAGGCCTATACAGTGCGTGACCTATCTCATGAAATGTTGGCTGAAATTCTGAAATGAGTTTTCCATTAGGAAGGCTTACTTGGTCGCTGTTGTGATACTGATTATCATAAGGCATACTCTTATAACACTTTAGACTCAGCAGGATGTCGGCTTTAAAATGCACTTCTTTTCAATCTCCTGTAGAAAGCGTGTTCGGTAAAAAATGACTACCTGAGTAGCATGCATTTTTCCCATTGATTTTCGATGGTCTTGGAAATTCAAATATATTTTATAGAAACTACAAACAAAAATATGCTTTCTTTCAGTCGATCAATAGAGAATCACGTCTTCTTTATATTTTATTATTAGGGAAGGAGTATAATTTGGTTTTAAAAAAGTTTCTAATTATGAGACTTTTTAAGATCGCGAAATGTCCATTCACATAGCATCGAACCTGGCCGTTTACCACTGCTCCGCTTGAAATGTACAACATGGTCCGCATCCATCGCAAAATTTTATGGTCCCTGTTTAATATCTCTTGAATGACATAAAAAAATATGGGATTTTCTTTACGTGGAACGCATGCACCTTGTAGAGTGAAATCACTAAGCGCTAATGCAACGAATGATCAGGCTCCAAACTTTTCGGCAATTCGAAAACTTTTTTAAAACCTAATTATACTTCTTTCTTAGGTATCAAATATAAAGAAGATGCGATTCTCTATTGATTGACTATAAGAAAGCATATTTTTGCCTATGGTTTATATGAAATATATTTAAATTTCCAAGACCATCGTAATTCAAAGGGAAAAATGCATGCTACGTAAGTAGTCGTTTTTTACCGAGCACGCTTTCTACAGGAGATTGAAAAGAAGTGCCTTTTAAAGCCGACATCCTGCCGAGTCTAAAATGTTATAAGAGTATGCCTTATAATAATCAGTATCACAACCGCGATCAAGTAATCCTTCCTAATCGAAAAAGCATTTCAGAATTTCAGCCATCATTTCATGAGATAGGTCACGCATTGTATACTTTTATTGCTGTCAAAATGATTAAAAGGAAAATGCTGGCAAGCAGAAGTTATTCTGTAGCTGGGGTTTAGGGTGGAGGAGGGTCTGGGTGGGTGAGGTGAAAAACAAAATTACCGTCAGTGTCAGGGCGAGAAGGGGATGGTGGGTACTGGGATGGGTAATCATACGTAGGTGGGTAGCATGGTGGCTTTGGCCCATGGGAACTGTGGGGCCTGTACGAAGTTCTTTTGTGTGCATAGAACTGGTTTGTATAGAGTGATGGCAGCCGCTTCTGCTGTTGCCAACAGACGCTGTCCAAGTGGTTTTGGAAAGCTTTACGGAACCTTGTAAATCACTCCAAATGCCTGGCCGGCATCTACACAGTGATCTTTGTCTACCATGTGGGCGAAGATAGAGCTGTTGACGTTCTTTATTTGCCTCTTTCTTAACCAAGCTGAAAGGTGTTCCCTTATTCTTTTGGACAAACGCCGGCTTGGGCGACCAATATATTCTGCCCCACAGGAGTAGGTGAACGAGTAAATACACATAGAAGTGGTCTGCGCTGGCAGTTTGTCCTAGCCGTCTCCTTGCAGGATTGGAATAGTGGAGAAGAGTACACGGGCGTCAGCTGCTGCAAGGGTGCGCTCTACAGCTTGAATTATGCGAATTCTTAGAAGTTCACTTGCCGCGTCCCCTTGAGACGGGACCCTGATGAAAAGCTTCTTCTTTTCTGCCGTCAAAATCGGGGCTTTGGTGGTCTCTCGGCCATGTACTTGGCAATAAATCGATCGGGGTATCCGTTCTGGCGAAAGAAATTTTCGATAATCTCAATATTCATGAATGCCTGCGACAGAACATTACCGGCTCTACAACATCACTACATATATCTTTGTCAGAACCAAAAGCACACATGACCACACTCAACATCACACAACGAAAGCACGTGATTGGAATCTCTTGTGTGTTTTTGTGCGTGTATTTGTGGGAAGTGTGTTCCTAGATCCCATGTTGCTCCCTTATCGCATTTATGATCCGGGTCTAATAGTGTCAGGATGCGCTAAGTGTCGTAACTTGGAAGGCTGCCAAGTGACTGTCCAACTCAATTCTTGTAGCCAGCACAGTGTGTGTTTGTGTAGAGTGGCAAAATGGTGGACTTAGGATTGAAATTTCTTCGTAAAATCCCAGCTCTTTTGTTTGAGAACTTATGTGGCAAGCGCAGGCGAGGCCAGTAACTATTGTTGCCTTTTAATTTCCACTGAACTTAACTGCTAACTTGGGGTAATTCAGTTTGAACTAAGGCCTGTAGACGTAGACCAAAACTTTATTTATGAATTATGAATTTATGAATTTATGTCCATCGGGTACAGCGGCATAACCGCGTAATATTCATTAACTGCCGACGGACAGCTACAGTAGGTGGGCTAACTCATGAAATGCCAACCGAAATTCCGAAATGCGTTTTCGTTCCGAAAATATTAATTAAGAAGGGTTGTAAAACTAACCGCCGTGTAGCATAATTCCGTCATAATTTGGTTACCTCTGGCTGCTGGTTTTCGAAGGCACCTCCTTCCAGCTGCATGAAAAAACTTCACTCCGTAAAAAATGCCACATACGTAGCATCAATTTTCCCATTGATTTTCGATGCCCCTAAATGCCCAATTATATTTCATGAAAAACATACATAAAAATATTAAGTGTTCCACTCATTCGATAGAACATAACGTCTTCTTTCAATTTGATACTCAGAGGAAGGGAATCAGTCGGTTTTAAGAAACTTGTCCGATTCCCGAATAATTTTTAACCCGTTCTGCTCTCGCACTTGCATTCAGGGTTTTCAGACTACGAGCCGTATATTTTCCGGTATGGAGGGGAGACCAGCGTTTCGTCGATATTCTGCTACTGCATGACACGGCTGCGAGGAGTTGGTCTCATCAGTGTGTCGCCCAGCATTCCCCAGCCGCCCAGAAAGCAGACGGGGAATGCTGGCGATCCACTGGGTTATAGGGTACCCCAGGGATAGCCCGGGCATTAGCTAAATGCCCAGGCACGCGTGTTTCGCCTTTGCATGGCGCAGCTGCGAGAGATTCAGCAAAGTGGAGCATCCGCTAGAAAGCACACGGAAGGTGCTGGTGACCTACTTGTTTTCTTGTGTTTTGGGGTCACGTCGTATATGTTGCAGGTCATTAGTTGTATAGGGCCCTGTCCCATGTTTCCACATCATGACGGTGTGTTAAAAGCCGTGGCTTAGAGGGTCGCAAACTGAGAGTCTGTGCATTAAGCTGTTGACTGATGAACTGAAAATCAGACTGCCTTGGCTCCTTCATAACGTAGCCTCTATGGCACTCCCATTAACTGGGACATGGGCCGTCCCCTCTTCTGTTGATGCTTAAAGCTCTGGCCATTTGCTCTGTGGACCAGAGTGTGTGAAGTGGAGCGTCAAGGTACAGGCTCAACCGTGTCATCCACCTGCGTCCTCCTCCCCGGCTTCCGCTCTTCCTGACTATGTCTTGGCACTAGGCCCAAGTGGGGAGGAGAGGGTGCAATAGATTCAATGCAAGTCTGCTATCACCTTGAGCTAATTCACACACAACTCATCATCCTTGTTCCCACCCTGCCATGGAGCACACGGTAGACATCGCCGCAACGTCGGCTGAACTGTCACGCATGCGCACAAGTATGAAGGGTTTAATGCAATTAGTCCCAACGACGCTAATCTATGGCGGTGAAGACTTGGACCGCCCGCACTAAATAAACCGGGAAACGTAATTATTTTCTTTCCGACTGTCGCTTGTACAGAGTTGGGCTCCGAAATATACCCTCCTTTCTATGAGACCTTGGCCCTGGGTTTGTCTTCCAAGGGGGTCCAGAAATGCGAGGGAGGAGGGAGTACGACGAGAAACGCGGAAGTCTGCTATCACTGTAAACTAAATCATACACACATATCTATTTTGCACAGTGTAGTATGCGTCTGTAGAACTGACGACGCGGGAATAAATGGTTTCAGAGGACGGATGATGAGCAAGTTTCCTTGAGTTTAGTAGTTAATTTCGATAGCAAGCCTCTGCGGGTAGAGTGAGGAGTATGAAACTGAATTGATTAGGAGGGACTGTGCAGTCCTGTAGAACCTCATTGGTCACTGAAGAATTGTCCTGTTCCCGTAACAGACGCTATCTACCTTTTGAGTAAACGTTGAGAATATTTGGAGTCAAACATGATTTCTTCGAGTCCGCCACTAACTTTAATGTTGAAGGACTTGCAAATGTTGACGGCGGTGTGTAGGTTGGTCCTTATTTCATCAACACCACAACCCTTTTTCACAATAGCAGTAGTAACGCCTGGTTGAATAAATTACTTAACTGTCGACAAAAAATATGAAGCATAAGAATGTTGGCATTTTGTTTTACGAATACCGCCT